ATGTGAACCAGCTCGAGGCTTTATCAGAATTCAGTTGACAACTCTTCAAAGATGAGAAGCCAAGTTCCGAGAATGTAAGTGACTTCCCAGTGTATGACAACTAGTGAAGTGAGAGGTAAGGTTCACACTCAAATCCTGTGGACTCTTCTCTCTGCTAGAAACAAATAAGCCAACAACCAACAACAATCTATATTAGCTTTATTTTCAGCAGACTCTTACATAAGAAGCTTATCTCTCTTTGAACTGCTCCTTCCATACGTCCATGGCTACCATCACCAGTTGTTGTGCTCACCCATCACAACTCTCAACTTTTCTCAATGCACCCAATACCCTCAGCCTAGCTCATTATCCGAATGGATGGATTGAACTTGTCAGAAAAGCGAAAGTCATCAGAATTTCATTGTGACGAAATACATACACTTTACCCTTGTACATCTGTTTTTAAGTCGAGCACAAATGTTAATAATTATTCTCGGCAGAGACATCTGGATGATTTGTTGGTACTAGTTGGCAGCAAACACCAGCTGTGTGATTCAATCTAGAACAGATGGTAAATTTTTATTAATTAATGATAAGTCTGGACTTTTCCACTGCTTACAATTCTCACTTTAAATACATAAGATCACCATTCTGATATGTTTCACTTTTAAAAATGTATCATCTGCCCCCAATTGGTTTGAAGAGGAGAGGAGTGAATTTCTCCTTGATTAGGGCAGTCAATCCAGGGGCCTTCAAGATACTCTGGGGCTGAAAAGTAAATCACAGTGAGTCCACGGCGGTCTTGTAGAGTGGGGGTGGGAAGATGTTTCACCGATCTCATGGTCAGAGACTTGGGATCTTGTCAATCATGCATTGCCAATTGATGAATGATACCTTCTTTCTACAAGTCTCCTGTCCATTAAATTCTCTGGGTGTCTCCTGCTGTAAACAACAAGGGACACGTATGAGTAAAGCATTCTTTACTGCACAAACATCCAACATACAAGTGTATAGCACTCCAGAAGCAGAATCAAACAGGATAAAGTCTTAATTTCATTCTTTAAATTGAAATCTTAAACTAGCTGCACGAAGGAAGGAACTAGAGGGGAGGGGAGAGTGTATTTGCTGGTTCTTTGGAGCAGGTTCGTCCTCCACTTGAGAGAAAGGTGACAGGGTCTTCAAAGATGGTCTGTTGATCCACTTGGTATCGTATATGTAAGAGTGAGAGTCTGAGTAGAGCCACTTTATTCCTTTACATGTATAAAACAGGTTATACAAGAACATGTTGTCAGTGTGAACTAATCAGATCATCAATCCTCTTCTCTTGGGAAAGGAGAAGAATTTTAAAATGTAGTTGGAGTAATATAAAATAAAAATAGTAAGTTCCCACATATAGTGTAATGTTCAGGGTTCTAGAATGTTACTACCATCTCATTACTTTATTCAGTTCCTGAATGCTTAAAATTCTACTAATGTAATCAGCTTGCCATTTTATGTTTTCAATTGATAGCTAATAAAATATAGTAAAAACAATTCTTAAAGGGGAGCTATGGTAGCCCAAGGAAGACAGCAATAAGACAATGGTGCTCTAAGGGGAGTCTGGAGGGAAGGGAAATAATAGACATTCAAAATGGGACATTAAAGAAAAATATGTTTGCTTCTGGGTGGGCTGAGACATCAGGTAAGTCATAATAGAATCTTAAGAAAAACAATCTTACCAGCTATGTAACTTCCCATCCTCTCAGCAAAATGGAGTGAAAACATCAGTGACCTTATTCAATAATGGGCGGGAGGGTAAAACAGAGAGAGAGAGAGAGAGAGAACATCTTGGTTCAAACTCTAGCAAAAGGTTTTCTTTTAAAAAAAATAGACCACTCAGGACTGATTGAAGCACCCTTATTTAAGAAATATCTATCTTATGAGTTATCGGAGATGCAGAAAAGAGCAGACTCCAAGAAAATATGACAATTTCCTTTTGATCGCTTGGACATTGTCACATTATTCCTCTCATTTCCTCTAGAGACCACTATGGAAGTGAAGTTAGCAGGTGGTTCTCTGAGTGCCTCCAGAGTATCTGAAAAGAAACTTGCTTTTAAAAAGTTACAAATCAAGATGAGAATACAAATATGAAAAGGCACTGTAAAGAACATTACAAAGAGATAACATCTGATCAAAAACTAATGGTATTGAAGGAAGAAGTCCAAACGTCACTAAAAGTATTAAGGAAAAACAAGGCTTCAGGAAGTGATAGAACACCAATAGAAATGTTCCACCATGCTGATGAAGCATTGGAGGAATCCAGTCACCTATGTCAGGACATTTGGAAGACAGCCACCTGGTTAACTGATACCTATTTGTATCCCTCCACTCCAATGACAGGTGACTATACAGAATGAGGAAATTCTCAAACAATATCATTAGTATGATGTGCAAGTAAAATTTTGCTGAAGATCACTTTAAAAATGGATACAGCAGTATAAATCAACAGAGAGCTGTCAGAAATTCAGGCTGGTTTCAGAAGAGGATGTGGAATAAGGGATATTATTGATGAAATCAGATGGATCTTGGCTGAAAAGTTTACTTATGTTTTAGAGATTATACGAAGGCATTTGACTGTGTGGAGCATAAACAAACTATGGATCACATTGAGAAGAATGAAAATTCCAGAACACTTCATTGTGCTCATGAATTACCTGTACATGGGTAAAGAGTCAGTCATATAAACAGAACAAGGGAATGATGAGGGTAACAAATGTACAAATGTGCTTGACACACAATGGATGTATGCATAGATTGTGATAAGAGTTGTACGAGCCCCCAATAAATTTATTTTAAAAAATAAAATAAAATCAGGAAAGGTGTGGGTCAGGGTTGTTAACTTGGCACTTTTATACATTTTAAGCCATGCGTAATCTCTAATTAAAAACAATGGTGAAGTCACAGATGGATATAACATGATACAACTAACATGCGTATGACCAAAAACAGATTAGTCTCTTTCACGTCTTGTATTTTATAACAAGCGTTGTTGTTAGGTGTTGTTGAGTCAGTTCTAACAGTGATGCTACGTACAAGAGAATGAAATACAGCCTGCTTTCTGCTGTGCTTGCAACCATTTCCACTGCCCTCCCTTCCCAAGCGCATGTCCTTTCCTAGGGCGGGTCTTTCCTGACAGCATGCTCCAAGTACGTGAATTGAAGCTTTGCCATCTTCGTGACTTAGGAGCATTCAGGCTGTGCTTCTTCCAAGATCATTTTGTTTGTTCTTCTGACAATCCATGCTACTTTCAATAATCTTTGCCAACACTATAAATCAACTCTTTTGTTATCTTCCTTATATATTGTTCTGCTTTCATATGGAAACGAGAAGAGTGAAAATATCATGACATTTTTCCCAATGCAAGAGAGTCACCTATAACTCTGAGGGAAAAAATGTGGCAGCTGTAAATTTCCAAATCTAGATCTACCGCCATCTGCTTTGGCTGACTGCTGAGTGATATATCCCCCAAAGCACGCTGTCTAGTCTGTCTCAAATCCCCGTGTGGTTATCTACCATGTGAGCGGAACGAAGCCATGCCTCGGCCGAGACAAACAGAATTTCTCACATTGTATTCTCAGGACCCAAGTACTCCAAAGAGTTATCTCAGTGTTCCTGAGGCCCCCTCAGGGAGAGTCGGGGAAGTTGAGAAAGTGCCGGTTACCTCTCTATTCATCTTGTGCCCTCCACTAATCATCGTGTCCCTCTGGTTTTGTCCTCTATTTCAGTGTAGGAGATGTTGGGAAGACTCTGCCACTACAAATGCATAAGAACTTAGTAGTGTTGATGAAAAGGACTCTCGAGTTGCTCCTTGGGTCTTCTCAGTGGGCTCTGTCGCAGCCCCTGGGGGCCTCGTGAGAGAGGTCCTGGGGAGCGTGCCAGGCCTATTCCATGGTTTTCTAAGAGACAGTTAAGAGAAATACAAGGCTAAGTAATCTCAGAAAGAATCCAAGCAAAAATTGGAAGGTCTTTTTTTATCTTCATGAGCGTTTCAACTAAGATCCCCTTGTGAATCTCAACTAAGAGCAGAGCTCTTCCCCAATAGGAGGGCAATGAAAAGTAGATGAGGATGCTGTTATAAGATTAGGTAATATCGCTGAAACCTGGAGAATTGAAGACAGGAATGCTAACTATATTGTAATATGTGTAACACTTCTGCACAATGAGATTGATCTCTCCATTAACACTAGAATGTCAATACAATATTTATTAAAAATATACAGAACCATGGTCCATTCTCTGAAGGAGTAAAATCATGAGGGAAGTGGCAGGGACTCTCTCTAGAGATCAAAGACTGCAAGTGCATGTGTTTTTTTATAAATAGGTACAAAAATACCATCTCAGCACAATGACCTTCAACTTACAATTAAATCATTTCTTAATTCCATACTTTCTGAATGCCGCTTGGATCTCTGTGTGTAGTTGATTATATATATATATATATAAATATACATATATTTTATATGTGTGTGTGTGTGTGTGTGTGTGTGTGTGTGTGTGTGTGTATCACTGATTCTGCTTCTCTAGCAAACTCTGCCTAACATACCTGGTAAAACCCTTGCTTTAAACTGAGCCTTATTTCACGCATTTCTTTTCAGATCCAAATGTTAATTCTGCATATGAGTTTTGAAAGCGTCAGAATGGCATCAGGGAAGGACAACACACTCATGATATTAAGCAGACAACTGTAGTTAGCAGCCTAATATATAACTCACTCTGACACCAGGACTCCTTACATTATATATGTAAGGAACAACAAAAAATTCAAACACTTGTATGTAAGATTTTTCTCTAGCACTCCACTAATCATTAATAATGCTTCCCCCTGAATTTATGTACTGTTATGTGTGGGCCCTTATACAGTATGGCTAACTCATAAAATTTTAATGAAATTTTGGCTCATAGCCAAAATTATTATCTGTTACTGTAATTATTAAACAACTATATGCTCAGAACACAACAGAATTTATAGAACACAATCCCTTGGTGGGGAAAATACTTGTTCATAATTCAATGTGGATGGAGCTAGTTACTCCTATCCCAACAGACTAGGCCAGAGTTGAAGTGAGTTTCAAAGACCTACAGGATTTCCGTCCCTTGTCCTGAAGAGTGAGTGCTTTGGGATAATTAGAATCCAGATATATAGACTTGGAAACCTCACATAGGATTGCTTTAAGTCAGAAACAACTTGATAGCAACTGGTTTGGTGTATTGCTTCTTGAATTATAATACGTCTTCAACAACATTTAATGGTTTATAGAAAAGAAAAAAACATATAAAATTAAGTACTTGAAAACTGAAGAACCATTATTTTTCTCACATTCTTATGTTTCATACAACAATAAATTTTCAATGTTAAAAACAAATGCAAGAGCAAAAAATAATTATTATCAAATTTTAAATGCTGAATAACAAGATCCTTTGCCAGATGCTTTCTATATTACAGAGTATTAATGTGTGGCTATCAAGTCAATTCTGACTTAAGGTGTTTCTTAAGTACAGAGTAGAAATGCCATATATGGTTTCCAAAGTTATCATCTTTAAGCAAACTTACTGTCACATCTTTCTCTTGTGGATGGCTAGTGGGTTTGAACCACCAACCTTTCAATTATCAGTTGGATGCTTAACCAGTACACCACCAGGACTCCTTGCAGGATTCCTCTCATAGCCATCAAGTCAATTCCAACTCATAGAGACCCTATAGAACAGAGCAGAACTTCCCCTGTGAGTTTCTGAGATTAAATCTTTACAGGAGTACAACTCCTCATCTTCCTTCCACGGAGTACCTGGTGGTTTTGAAATGCAAATAGACAAAATCATGATAAATGGAGAAAATGTTGAATTTGACAAGGATTCTGTCTTACTGGGATCCACAATTAACACCCACGGAAGCAGCTATCGATATCACAGGATGTATTGCTTCAGGTACATCTGCTGTACAAGACTTCTTTAGAGTACTGAACAGCAAGGATTTTACTTTTAGGACTAACGGGTGCATGACCAAAGCATGGTATTCTCCAGTGCATCACATGCATGGGAAAGATGGACATTGAATAAGAAAGACCATAGAAGGATAGACTCATTTGAATTGTTGTGTTGGAGAAGAATATGCAAAGTACAAATCGATGTGTTGGAAGAAGTGCTCCTTAGAGCCAAGGATGACAAAACTTCCTCTTACCTGCTTTGGACATATTGTCAGGAGGGTTCAGTTCCTGGAGAAGGACATCATGTGATGAGATGGATTAACACAGTGGCTGCAACAATGGGCTGAGACATAGAAACAATTTGTGAGGATGGCACCGGACCACGAAGTGTGTTCTTCTGTTGTGCATAGGGCTGCTATGGGTTGAAAGTGACCCAATGGCACGTAATAACAACAAAAGTGGACCAGGGATATGCATAAACCTTAGATATGTTCATGGATTTTGAACTCACAATTAATAATCAACCATATAACAACTAGTTCTTAGGATGCGGCCCTGCTCTATATGTGCCTTCAGGGAAGATATGGGTACTATAGCCAAGTGCAGTGAAGAAATCAGATGGTGCCTGACTATCAGGAAGAATATCATCTGAAGTCTTTAAAAGCTTGTCCTTAAAGCAAGCAGCTATCTAAATGAAGTGTCAGCTAAGGGCACATGGCAGGAACACACCAGCCTGTGTGATCCAAGGATTATTAATATAAAATCCATAATAAGATGAGTAAGTTATATTAGAGCTTAAATTCTGAGCACCTGCTTTGCAGAAGGCTACAGATGATAGTGAAAGGACAAACCCATTTGCAGGGTCCTCGTGTGGATAAAGCCTCCAATGAATTCTTTGTTATCATAGAATGTGCACTGTCTTGTTCTCAGACTGAGTGCATTGGAAAGCGGGTTGCTTCCACTCTTCTGACCAGCCTAGCGAGAGGCAATCTCCCTCAAGGACTTAGGTGGATGGTTCCCAGGTTGTACTGGGGGTTGCATAGTCATAAGCTATGTCCTGGCTGCTTCAGGGAAGCCCTGGACCAATATTGCAAGCTCCTCTGCCTAACATAATATGAGTATTCCAAACATGGCCCCATCACACTCTGAGCATCCCACTAGTAACGATGTTAAATTGATCCCACTAATAATGATGTTAAAACTGCCACCAACCAGGTTTATGAAGCAGTCAATCTTCTTTGATCTCCCATGTCCTTTTAAAAGCTAGGTTCCCCAGCAAAACCATGAACGATTATGACCTTGTCCTAATAGTACCCCTCATCAAGATGTTATGTTTCTGTAGTTGTCTTGTCCTTTAAGATTCATTTAAGGCTTAATCATTGTTCTCTTTATTGAAAAAAAGTTCATGGGAAAATTCCATTACTTTTTAATCCCATGCTTTACTTAACTTTTTGACCCCCTCAGAAGTGAGTATTCATGTATATAGCCCCATTCACCTTCCCATATGCATTCAGTTGTGTGTCCATCTATTTATCTGTGGTAGTTATATAATCTAGTGTCAGTTTGGGACTTGAGAGGATTAAGAGTGAAGGGGTGGAGTCTAGTCTGTCAATCAGATCACAGCCAATGAGGCCTCTGAGTTGTCATGGCCTTCTCCTGAGAATTTTGGGAATTCCTGGATTTCCTCCTAGGAGGCAGGAGACAGACTCTAGCTCTCTCTCAACTCACTTCCTTGGAGACTATCTACTACCAAGGCTGATTCCCTGTGAGACATCCCTGACACCCTGATGCAGCCAGAAGCCTGGACCTGGAGAAGCCACGTGGAGAACTCTGTCAGCACTGAAATGCTTATACTGCCACTGGATTCACAAGACTTCCCATCCACTGGCCTGTGATCTTCCTGCATTCAGCATCATGGCATGTGTTTCATGAATCTGAAGAGGACTTCATAGATTGGTGCTGGACATATGGACTAATATCAGATTTATGGGCTTGGACTGAACTGGATTGGGTTGCTTTCTTAATGCACAATTACCCTTTATATAAAACTCTCTCTTATACACATATGAGTTTCTATGGATTGGTTTCTCTAGTCTACCGGGACTAATACAGTTTCAACACATAGATTATTGCTATGACTGTAATAGTATTATGTGAGTATGCAATAGTATTATGTGAGTATGCAATACTATTATTGTACATAATACTGTCACTGCGTATACTATTGTTTGCTTCCTTTGTCTTCAAAAAAATAAAATAAAGATCAGAGACTTAAAAAAAAGTGCTCCAGGAAACAGTCCCTGGAGTAGAACACCATGACTGGTGAAGAAAAAGATCAGTGAAAAAGAGGACGACACTCAAGTGATGGATAACCCCAGCTGCAACAAAGGCATCCAACATAACAACACTTGTGGAGGTGGCAAAAGGACCTGGCTGTGCTTTGCTCCAGTGTGCATGGGGTGGCTGTGAGTGCAACCAACTCAGTGGGACCTAACAACAACAGCAAGTGGATGAATCTTAGAGCCATGACATTGAGAGAAGGAAGTCAGATGCAAACATGTATTACTATACAGTTCAATATTTACATGAAGTTGAAAAAATAAAGCTAATGTTCTGTGATAGAGTTTGCAAAATACTTCCATAAGGGATGACAACTGGGACGGGCCAGGTGGAAATATTAGTAACATTCTATTTCTTCACCTGAGTGTTGGCTACACAGATATATTCAGTTTATTTTTTTAAATGAGCTATATGCTTGTGGTAGTTATATAATTTCGTGTCATCCTGAAAATATGAAAGTGTAAGGGGTTTCTCAATCAGGTCACAACCTGATGTTACCTCCAGGTGGGCGTGCCTTCTCATAAGAAGGATCCTGGGAACTTCCTCTCCCTCTCTCTGTTTCATCTTCCTGCTGGAGAGCCATGCTAAGTCCTGTGGGCCTTGTGAGGCAGCCACCACCATTGGATCCACAAGATTTTATACCCAATAGCCTGTGATCTTCCTGCATTTTACTTTGCTGCGTGTGGCTGCATGGGTCTGAAGAGGGACTTACGGACTAGTATCAGACTTATGCACTAGTATTGGACTGATGGACTTGATCTTGACTGGACTGCAATGTTTGCTTGATATACAATCACGTCTTGATACAAAGCTCCTTCCTGTACCTACATGAGTGTCTCTGGATTAGTTTCTCTAGGCAAACCAGGGTAACACAATACTTCTGTACTCTTCCTTTAATGCTTGGTTAAATAATTAACTTGTTTTAGAAATCATTTTTGAAGGGTCTTCAAAGATACACTCACTCTCACTCACTCTTTTATAAGGGAGCCGTTGCCGCTTGAAGGGCTCTTTGGTTGGTTCTGTCATATAAGCGTTAGATTGCTGACAGCAAGCTTGGCAGCTTGAACCCACCAGCTGCTCCTCTGGAGAAAGACGGGGCTGTCTACTCCCATAAATATTTACATTCTTGGGTACCTGATTTAAGGTCACTGTGAGCCAGAATTAACTTGAGGTCAATGGGTTTGGTTTTTTATTTGGTCTGGTTCTTGAAAACTCCGCCAACAGAAGCCACAGGCAGCTGGGGGGATTCATGGAGTGTGATTATGGCTTAAACTGAGTCATGGGTCTGTGAAATTTCATTATAGTATCCTCTGTAATGTTGTATCATTTCTAAACTTTTCATAATAAAATAATTTTCCTAAATGTCTATATACTATTGGGATTCTACCAGAATAGGCCTAATGTTTACCAGAATCAAACCAGCCTTCTGATCTCCGCAGCATATTCTCTCCCTAAGATAACACTTGGCAAAGCTCGGTCTCCTGATCACCTGTATCGACGCTGCGTCCTTTCCTGGTGGGTCCTAATTGTTTTTCTCCTTTGGGAAATAAAAATGTTCACTACTTCCACTCAATAAAGACTCCCACCAGCCAATTAAGTTTTCCAGCAGCAGTGTCATTGTCTAATGAAGGAAGGACTGTATGACAAAAATAAGCTTCAGTGGAAAACATTTAGGGAAGTAGAGAAAAGTAGGCATGTGAGCTGAGCGAGGAGACTGGATGTCATCCTAATGAGAGGCCCCATGCCAAATCAACCCAAAAGGAAATGATTAATTAGGGGCGTGTAGCAATGGAGATGCCCCCAAGCATTTCAGTGAAGTGGAATGACGCAGGTTAGAGTCCAAAATAACAGGACAATTGATCGGGGAGTGGGAAAAACATATTTTTTCAGATGTGTGCATCACATAAAGATAGTCCTATTTTTACCATAAACAGTCCAATCTTGTTAATCAAGAAGTGGTTTAAAAGATCAATAAAGTAATGGCTACAGATAAGCATTACGAATGATGTTATTTTTGGTGCACCAAATGTTTGTCCTAAATTGAGGGTTAGAAACAGTGCTTGCCAGAACGATTTTATTTTTTTAAAATCCAGAGAACAGACACCACTCTAGGAGGCAGATCTCTATATGTAAAAGTATCTAACACGGACTGATTTCTACTTCAAGTGAAAGTTTCTATATTTGGTTTTATAACATTTTTAGACCATTCTCACTTCGCTGCAGGGTTCAACTTTTATTCTTTTCCTTCTTGGTCAGAATGAATTATCCTTGCCTCCTAGCTGGAGAGAGGAATGAAGTTTTTCTTTGCCCTGCAATCTAATTATACCCTCTCCTACCCCAGCCTCGTCTTGTCGCTCAGGAGAGAATAAAGAGCGAATGTCTAAAAATGGTTGCTGTTAGATACAGATGTGTTGGTTCTCAGCTGATGGAGCCCACATGTGCCAGAGTTGAATTGCTCCAGTGTCGTGGTGGGAATGTTTATGGGAGCCAACTCTTTCTGCCTCATGGGCACCGGATGGGTTTAAACCATTAGTAGCTGAGCTCTTAACTCTTGTGCCATGTGAAATTTGTCAAAACCAAAAAACCTGTGCCTTCAACTTGATTTCCACTCAGAGTGACCCTGTAGGACAACTTAGGACTGTCTCATAGTCCTACACTGTAGGCCTGTAATTTTTATGGAAGCTGGGTGCCCTAGTATTCCCCTGTGGAACGGCTAGTGAATTCAACCAACCAACATTCAGCCAACAGTGGCTGAGCGCTTTAACCACTGGGACACCAGTGCCCCTAAAATGGGTTAAATTTCAATAACAAACTGTCAAGCACAGTTCAGCCCTCTGGAAATGCCTGACTTACCCCAGTATCGCACCAAGCTGGTTATAAAAGCCTTGAACCTGAAACAGGGCAGGGAAATTTAATGATGTTGCACAGGAAATAGCAGAAAGCGCACATCGATATTGGACTGTGGAGTTCCTGGACGGTCCAAATAGTCAAGTACTTGACTGCTGACTGCAAGTTTGACTGCTTACCAACAGGTGGGAGGTTCAGGTTCACCCAGAAGTGCCTTAGCAGAAAGATTGGCAGACTAGTTTTTTAAAAGCAGCCATTGAAAACCCTATGCAGCCTAGTTCTATTCAGACCCACAGTGAGTTGTAAATAATTCAACAGCAACTGTTTCTGTTGTTATTGTGGTTAGGTGGATAAACACTGCCTAGGCCTTATTAGGAAGCCAATCAATATATGGCAGTAAGTAAACAAATCTGGCAACTATATTGCAAAGAAGCCCCGGTGGCACTGTCAAGGAAGCATTGGACTGTTAAACCCAAAGTTTTCAGTTCAAACCCAGCAGCCACTCTGCAGGACAAAGATGAGGCTATCTGCTCTTATCAAGATTTATAGCCTCAGAAACCCCATCTAGGGTCAGTGTGCGTCGGAATCCACTTGAGGGCAGGGCTTGTTTGGTTTGGTTTGGTTTTTTGAGCCTGTTCCAGGGAGACTTGGTGGCATAAGTGGGTCATACTTTGAATTTCTAATCGAAAGATCGGGAGTTTGAACTCACCAGCCATTCTGCAGGGGGAAAAATGTAAATGACTGACTCTTTGAAGATTAACAATCTTGGGAAAACCCTAGGGAGTAATTCTACTTTGTCTTATAGACTCGCTATTAGTCTGGATTGACTTGGTGGCAATGGGTTAGAGGGTTTGGGTTTTGTTTTTATTATTGTTTGATAAGACACGAAGAAGCACACTTGTACATTCATTGCCCTCACGATTCTCAAAACTCTCACTTCCGCTTGAGCTCCTGGCATCAGCTCCTCATTTTCCTCCCCCCCCTCCTCACTCCCCCCCTCCCTCATGAGCCCTTGATAATTTATAAATTATTATTTCATCATATCTTACACTGCCTGGCATCTCCCTACACTCACTTTTCTGTTGATTGTGATAAGAGTTGTATGAGCCCCAATAAAACGATTTTTAAAAATTAGAATAGGAGAATGTAGACAAACCATTATAGATTTTTTTTTCTGTTTTAATTAATCTCCCCAATTTTGTGCTTCAGAGCAAGGGTTTGTCATGTCTTCGTCAGATGTTTTTGGCAGTCATGATTCTGAGGTGTGGCTTTAAATACCCACAGCAAATGTGTTGTTTTTTAATGACAATAGTTTTCAAAATCCTACTAAAATTTTGGATACTTTTTTTTTAAAAAGGCTAAAATACTCAAAATATTTATTTTTCTTGTTAACAATTGACTTGATGGTAGGCTTGAAAGGTATATTCTCAGGCATTTTTCATTTAATTTCAAAAAATTATTTTTCATACTTGCTAATTTAAGGAAATATTTTCCCAAACCTCTGAACTCTAGGAAATTTTCAAAGATGAGTTAAGAATTTCTGAGAACTTGATAGCAATACCTGCCAATTTTAACATTTCTCTTTTCTCAATAACTTTAAAATATAATTTTTAATTAAAATTTGTATAACATTTTGTTCATTGGATAAATATATATTAAAAAACATTTACTATGGTCAAATATTTTTTAAAGTGGGTATGTAACAGGCAATTCTGCACATCAGACTGATAAATAAAGCATCAATTTTTAATTTTCAAAAAAAATTCTTTATATGTACATGCCTGTATTTAGGCCTCGATAAATGTCCTTTGCCTCCTGGGGGTAGGGGGTGGGGGGAGATACGAAGAAAAGAAAGTCAAATTTAAGCTTCAAGAAATGAAGCATAATACTCTTGAGGTATAATCAAGATTTGAACCAGCAATAACAAGATATTAAGTGCAAAGTTAAAAATCATACTCATAAGGCACAATTCCCTCTATGACCAGAATGCTTTAAATTTAGATGAAGACAGTGACATCATTAGACAGTGACATCGTTAGTGTGGTTAACAACGCCATCACCCCCACCCTCACTCTGGACCTCCTCCCCTATGAGACCATACAGAATCCTTAACAATGGTTTTTGTATTAATGTTACTCTTAAACTGTAATACCAGATATTAGAGGGTATGATGGCAATTTACTGGCATACACAATTAGCAAAATTAAAATTACACCTTAAATTGCAATATCATATGCACAGCCTAAAAGTATTTATATTAACATAGTTCCATTTGGTTAAGAGAAAGTTTTGTAAAGAACAAAATAGGCTTCAAGTAAAAGTGTTTAACAATGACATTAAGACTACATTCCTTTTGCCCATAAATTTGACCATTATAGGAGATAGAAAGTGGTTCAGGTTTTCATAATTAATAATGGCCTAAATAATGTAGACAAACACAAATGGAAATGCTTTCACAAATGGAAGAATGTAATAAAAATAAATGAGAATTTCAGCATCTAGTGAACTTCTAAACTAAACTAGAATTTTCATTTCCTGGCCTTCACACTGCAAGCTTATGAATCACTTAAATGCAATCATTTTGCCAACTCACTTGCTGATACCAAGATTGGAATGCTTTGGCTATCCCTTTGATGGATTGCAAATCGCTCTTCATCAGTTTTAGCTTTGAGAATTCTTCTCATATGAAACCACAGATGCACAGATTGTCAGAAATAATTTTAGGCTTGATGAAGAGTTGGGAGAGATTCCATGAAGTCTCATTTGACTATGACTGTCAAAATGTCTAGTGTTGCCCAATTGTTGGCTTCTTCCAGATCAGCCTCACCTCTGTCATGCATCTTCGCAACCTTGGTATTTCTATTAGAAGCTCACTTTTGGATGCCTCATCATAGAAAGTGGTCCGTTTTGGAAAGGAGGCCTTTAACTCTCCTTCAGTGGCCGATGGGAAAGTCTTCGCTTGAATATCCCCAGACATGGCTGCTGTTTCCACAATGACTCTGGTTCTGATCTGAAGTTCATAGTGAAAGTAATCAGCGCGCCCAAGCATTATCCTTCTATTTTACTCGTATGGTCTCCCTATTCCCTGGTATCCTCTTCATAAACTATCTTGTCAGTCTATTTCACATGCATATTTGTTTGATTTTAAAGTGCCTGTAGAGTCCCTAGGAGTCATAATCAACATGTTGGCAGTGAGTCTGTGTTTTGGTTTAAATTGCATGCTGCAGTAGGTGCAGAAAAATCTTGGTCTCTAGCGCTGTCACCACTACCTTGTTGAGATTGAAGTCTTTAGTCTGCAGGTACTGCTGTGTAAGATTAATATCCAATCAAAAGTAGAGACAGCATAGGAAGTGATCAATAGGCAAAAGACCTTGAGCAGTTCCTCTTGTGTCCAAATTACCAATGTGGATCACACAGAGCTTCAATTGGCACTACAGATTTATGGGACTTTTCTTTCACTGGCTGAAGTGAAAGGTGCTGAAGTTGCTGGCTGTCTTTTTTCATTGACACTCCAGTATGGTCAATTAACATGAGCCATTGATGGGTGGGAGGAGCAAAGAAAGAAAGCCTGGTCTCAAGAGTTCCAAAATGTTACCCAGCATTCATTTTTATCAAAAGAGTTCTATGGCACAAGTTAAGTGAATGGTCCACACATTCATTAAAAATAACTTTATTTCTCTTTCCCTTAGCAATGACATGTTCACTTCCATGGATTTGAGTCAAGCATTAGCATAGCTTGGAGCATGCATTAGGTCCAGTCTATCTATCTATATATGTATATGTATATATATGTATATGTATGTATATATATATGTGTGTGTGTATATGTCTCAGAACTGAGATCAGCATAATTTTTCTCTTTAAAAAGGAAACATCCTAAAAAGACTTCTTTCACTTCAACTCTCCTGTTGTTTATTTGTACATATCTGATTAACTTGGACAGCTGGTCAATCTGTGATGAGTCTGGTGAATTGCAGTACATGATCTCAAAGTACTTTGCAGACTTTGTGTCCATGGCAACCTTCTCATTTGCATGAATTTCCAGGGCATTTACAAACCCATTCCAAATTTTTGATGATACATTAAGTTTACCTGTGTTCCACTCTAATCTCATTAGGTGATCTTTCAGCACTGGATCATATTTTGAACAATCTCAACCAGCTTAGGAAAGCTCCCTTTATTCAAGGAAGACTCATCTTTCATGGGGCAATGGATAGCTAGATTCGGCTTGGTAAGAAACTATGCTATATCAAGTGATTTGTTAAGGATGTCATACCACATTTTCTTTCCTCGTTTTGGCACCAGTGGTTTGGTTCGGCCTCAGTCCTGGTCCCAGTGGTTTCCACTTCAGGGCACCGTAAGCGCTTTTCAGATGTCTCACAGGATGTACTTTCAGGCTTCGTTTCCACAGCTTCTGAAATCCAGTCACAGATGGGGAGGTCATATCTTTAGCACTGGCAACAAACCATTGGCAGTAAATAACAGTTTATAAGTTATTGCTTATGAGTGAGTAAACCATTCATGCCCACCGAAGTTTCTCATCACTAGCCATTCCTTGATAAAACGACTCTTTTGAAAAGCTGAAGCACCTTTCCCTTCTCCTTTACACCCTGTCTTGATTCAATGCCAGAAGGCACATCTTTGTTCTGGAAAGAAGCATGCCCCGTTTTGATGATTTCAACCCTACAATGATCTGACACTGCTATATTCCAGAAAGAAACATCGGGCAAAATTTACACATCTTTCTCCATAATATCACTCATTTCATTTACAATTTCATGCCTAGAGTCGCTGCCAGCACTCTCTTCTGCTTCAAATTCTGCCCTTTCTGCTCTTTGCTTTTCTGCAGAGTGTAGGTTAGCATAATCACTTTTATCAAATGGAGACTGCCTGACAGGCGGTGATTTTTGATGAACCCGGTCATCCTCTGCTTATTTGACATATTGAAGCATGACTCCAGTAACTGTTTTGCGTGATTTAACTCTGGGCTCTTTTACTTTCCTTTGCTGGTAGCCACTTGGCTAACTTGGGAATGTGATCAACTATCCTTGAGTGATTTTACAAAAAAGGTAGATAAATGAGCAATATTTGGGGGGGAAAAAAAGAATGTATACTTTATGAAACTCTTGGGTATGTTAGTTCTAGGAAATGTACATTTTAGTGTATCTCTATTTTTTAAACCATAACTCAAATCTAAACCCAGAAAATTTCATTCAAATTAGATTTTATATTTATAAGACAGGTTATTTTTAAGGAAAATTAAAATTCAAAAAAAATTTAACTGAACTTAGGATTTGTTATATTCATCAACATAGATTAAAAAACATAGCATTTTCTCACTTCATGTTTTTTTTATCATTTTATTCAGGGCTCATACAACTCTTATCACAAATCATACATACATCAATTGTGTAAAATGCATTTGTACATTCATTGCCTTCATCATTCTTAAAACATTTCCTCTCCACTTAAGCCCCTAGTATTAGATCTTCATTTTTCCCCTCCTTCCCCGCTCCCCTCTCCCTCATGAGTCCTTGATAATTATTAATTACTATTTTGTCATATCTTTCCCTGTCCGATGGCTCCCTTCACCCACTTTTCTGATGTCCTTCCCCCAGGGAGGAGGTTACATACAGTTCCTTGTAATCGATTCCCTCTTTCCAACCCATTCTCCCTCTACCCTCCCAGTATCACCACTCACACCACTGGTCCTGAAGGGATCATCTGCCCTGAATTCCCTGTATTTCCAGTTCCTATCTGTACCAGTGTACATCCTCTGGTCTAGCCAGACTTGCAAGGCAGAATTCGGATCATGATAGTGGGAGCGGGGAGGAAACATTTAGGAACTAGAGGAAAGTTGTATTTTTCATCGTTGCTACATCACCCCTTGACTGGCTCATCTCCTCCCCGAGACCCCTCTGCAAGGGGGTCTCCAGTGGCCTGCTAATGGGCTTTGGGTCTCCACTCCACACTCCCCCCATCATTCACTATGGTAAGATTTTTTGTTCTGATGATGCCTTATACCTGAGCCCTTCGACACCTCATGATCGCATAGGCTGGTGTGCTTCTTCCATGTGGGCTTTGTTGCTTCTGAGCTTGATGGCCGCTTGATTACCTTCAAGCCTTTAAGTCCCCAGACACTATACTTTTTGATAGCCGGCCACCATTAGCTTTCTTCACCACCTTTGCTTATGTCCTCACTTCATGTTTTAAGATGCCAAATACCTCTATTTAGTTTTCAGCACCATATAATCATTTTACATAAAAGCATATCAACAATTTTAATCATAACATATTATGTGATAAATATACAAAAGGGCTTCAAAAGTTTCACAGATAAATGGGCTGAAAGATAATGAAGTTTTTAGTAAATTTTTGAAGCCCTCTAATAGTTGTAAATTGTTCCCTACAATTGACATGCAAATTATATTGATACTAACACCAAAATTGCTTTGTAAAATCTTTCTACATTAAAATGCAACATTATCAGTTGCAAAATTATTAACAAAAGTAGTCTTCATTTTTTTCTCCTTTAATTACTACTTTATTATCAAAAAGGTTATTGATACAGGATCACGTATACTATCTCGCCCAATATTATATATAAATATTTTGACAAAATCAGCACTCTAAAAACATAGGCAACAATAAAAACAGTAGTGTGCGTGTGCAGTACATGCAGACAAAACAATATGAAAAGTGTCATTGTAATTGGACAATAATGAAAACTTTGAACAGAGCACATTTGAAAATTCCAAAAGTAAATGCGGATACTACATGGTTTGAGAATAGAATGCATCAGGGTGTATCTTTCAATATCCATATTCAATCTGTATGCTGAGTATATATTAGAAATTTAAGGGGAAGTGTGATTAAGTGAATGAGAGGAACAGCTCATAAAAGGAGAGTGAGACATATTGTAAAACTTGAGGAATGTAATCAATATCCCTGAATGTACATGTAAAAAATGTTCAGTTGTTGTCTGATATGTTTTCCATGTTCTCAACAATAACAAACAAGAAATAAATTACATGCAAAATGAATTCAAAGTGTAGAAATACAAAATATAAAAATCTACTAGAAAAAAATGCTTTGTTTTCATATTTATTAAATAAAAACCAACCTTTTAAAAATTATCTAAGTTGTAAGGATAGACAATGCAATAAACCTCCTCTCACATGCTTACCACCAGCTACAATTTTTTTAACTCATGAAGCCAACATTGGAAAAGGAAATATTAACAGTAATTTCTCAGACAAATAGAATCAGTTAGTGATAGTTAAGTTGATGTTCAACTTGGATAAACCACGGTTCTCAGTGGTTTGGCAGATATTATGTAATCCTGCTTATTTTGTGATCTGATAAGAGCAGCCAATCCATTGAAAATAGAGTTTCCTTGGGGATATGACTTGCATCCCACTTATATGGGTGTTCTGGCAAATGTCACTTTTTCAAGCCTGCATCCAACTCATCATCCTCTGATCTTTGGTTCTTGAGACATGAGCCAGATTTGGGGACTAACCAGTTTCTGCAGCCCCAAAAGCAAACAGCCTGATGCCCACCAGGATGAATTTAGATTCTTTAGCCTTACAACCACATCCATCCCGTGAAGCCTTCAGCCCGACTTCTGACACATCAATGTGCAACTTGCCTGCCTTCCCAACTGCTTGAACTATTTACTTGAAATAAGTTTATCTAACTAACTATCTATATTTCACTTGTTTTGCTCCTTTAGATAACCAAGTACATCTGGTACTGAGAGTGGTTGTAAAGGAAGAAACTCATAAGGATGAGTTTTCTCAAACCTGCTTAGTTTTAAAGGGATGGAAAATGTTCTCCAGTAATAAAGAGGGCACTGCTGAAACATTGTATGAAGCCAAATAGGAATATGCAAAATATCACCACCATCATCACCAATAAAATATTTGTGAGAAATAAGGCTCTGAGTGATTACATATTTGATATTTCTCTATGGCAGGTGTGGTAGGAAGGTTTATTGTGCCAACCTGGCCAATGGAACATGTGAGATTAATAAGGTCGCAGTGATTGCAGAGCAAAGAGATAAATGGCTTGGTAAACCCTGCCTGTCTCTCTCTTGCTCTCTGGTCATCGGAGCAGTGTGTAGTTGCCTTAGCTAGTTTTCTGCCTTAATTTGTAAGTTACACTACCCGTGGGACTCCCAACCTGTGAATCCATGTTGCTAGAGCTTGAGGTTCCTTTGAGTCCTGCTTCGCCATGCTGCTGGTATATGCATTGCTTGACCAAATTAATACATCTCCTGGAACTTGGTATGAAGCTATTGATCTGGCCAATGCCTTCTCCTCAATACCAGTCTCAAAGGACCACCAGAAGCAGTTTGCCTTCAACTGGCAGGAATTACAATACACTTTCACAACTCTGCCCCAGGGGTACTTCAACTCTTCCATCCTGTGGAACTCTTCCACTCCTGTCACTGTACCTTCCTTCTCCCAGTCTTCACCTCTGCAGGTGTCACTCATAAGTAGACAGCAGCAGCACTACAGCCCCTTTCTGGGATCTCCCTAAAGGACAGTGGTGAAGGGAACTTTGAGCAGTGCACCTGGCCACTCAGTTTGCCTGGAAGGAGAAATGGCCAGATATGAGATTGTATACTGAGTCATGGGCTGTACCTAATGGCTTGGCTTCATGGTCAGGGAATTGGAAGGGAAATGATTGAAAAATTGGTGACAAGGAGGTGTGGGGAAGAGGTATATGGACAGACCTCCCTGAATGAGCCAAGAAAGTAAACATAATTGTGTCTCCTGTGAATATTCACCAAAGGGTTACCTCTGAAGAGGAGGACTTTAATAATCAAGTGGATAAGATGACACACACTGTGGAGACTAGTCCTCCTCTTTCCTCTGCCACTCCTGTCATCGCTCAATGGACACATGAACAAAGTGGACATCGTGACAGAGATAGAGGTTATGTATGGGCGTAGCAACATGGACTTCCACTCACCAAGACTGACTTGGCCACTGCCACTGCTGAGTGCCCCATCTACCAGCAGCAGAAACCAACATCAAGTCCAAGATATGGGACCATTGCTTGGGGAGATCAACTAGCAACCTGGTGGCAGGTTGATTACATGGGACCACTTTCGTCATGGAAGGGGCAGCGTTTTGTTCTTATTGGAATAGACACTTACTCTGGATATGGATTTCCTTCCCTGCACTTAATGCTTCTGCCAAAGCTACCATTCATGGACTTACAGAATGACTTATCCACTGGCATGGCATCCCACATAGCATTGCTTCAGATCAAGGAACTCATGTCACAGCAAATGCAGTGCAGCAATGGGCCCATTCCCATGGAATCCACTGGCCCTATCATGTTCCTCATCATCCTGAAGCTGCTGGCTTGATAGAGCGATGGAATGGGCTCCTAAAGACACAA